GACCCCCCCCCCCCCCTGCGGACGCCCATGATTGAAACCTATATGATCATGAGGAATAACTGTTCACAGGACAGATGAACACACCATGCAGTGGCCGCACATAATTAACTCGTTTTTAATTGCAAACACACACGTGTAGTGAAGCAATAGGCCTACATGTATACACCACCTATTTGGCTTTAAAAAACTTTTAGATACCTTTTAAAGTGACAATTTTACTATCAGGATAACATGAGATGACAGGTCTGGAGAAGTGGCTTGGTTTTGACTTGTTTTGTTTGCTATACTGTAATTTGGAGAGTGAGAAGGGGGCTAAGGGGATACCTCTGGGGTTAACGAAAGGGGAATATACGTGTCCTCTGTGCCCGCCTTTGGATCCAATGTTGTAGTCACATTCGGATCCAGTTAACAAAGAAATATGCGTTTCATACCCTCCACACTACTGTCCTTGTTTCTGATACATGTATGCCCTTAGTCTGTTCATTTTTAGACAGATGACATAGTAAAACAGATTTTATCAATATCTTGTAATAATCACTGCGTCTTATTTCAGAGATACTGTTCATTGCTCTTCGTAAGAATATCCAAGGTATAGCAACCAACCAGTATGGCTGATGAAAGGCTTCTCTGGGCTGCATCGGATGGAGATATTCAGAGTTTACAGGAACTGCTGACTGCCGGGGAGTGCGACGTCAATGACCAGGACTGGGTAACAACGTTAATTACTCTGTCACTAGCCACGTCATCGACCAGCTGCTTAGTATAACAGTAATGATACACACTGAAATATTTACACTATTGTAGAAACGACCCATTGCAAATTCCATGGATATTCTCTAACTGCCTCACTCCTTACTGCTCCTCTTCCTTCTTGTAACTGTTACAATGTAATTCTTTTCTTAAAGCCTTATTCTTAAAGACTATTGTCCCAAACATGTTTTTCGACACGACATTGTTTATACATATCATATAATAGTGCGAATTTCTGCTGACCGATTTTTGTTAATTACTGATAATTTTAAACCCTGCATGAAAATAAGCATGTTTCTGCAACATAAATTACCTGTTTACTCACACGGTTTGTCCATATTCTCAGAATGGGCGTACACCACTTCACAGGGCAGCCTACAGGGACCACACACAATGTGTCCAGCTTCTCCTCCAACACGGGGCAGATACCAGTATACAGGATGAGGTGAGTGTAGAATATTCTAAGCATAACAATATTGTACACTTGCGTATTACTACATATATTTCTCAAAGTTTATTAGAAGTTATTGTACAAGGTTTACATATTCTGCTTAGCGATCTTTCCCTTAAATTATAAGTAATCATCTTAAAATATGTATCGAATCACATCGCTTATATCATTTACATATCACATTGATGTTTTTTTTTTTTTTTTGTTCATCGATTTTAGTTTATTACTGATTGCTTTAAACATCCAGTGGAAATAAATTTGATTCTGCAACATGGATTATCTGTTTACTCACATTGTTTGTCCATATTCTCAGGATGACCAGACACCACTTCACTGCGCTGCCAACCACGGCCACATACAATGTGTCCAGCTTCTCCTCCAACACGGGGCGTATACCAGTATACAGGCTAAGGTGAGTGTAGAATATTCTTAGCATAGCAATATTGCTTCTCTTGCGTATAACTACATGTCTTTTCCGATGTACATTAGAAGTTATTGTGCCAGGTTTACATATCCTGCTTAGCGATCTTTGTTTTAAGTTATAACTTATGATCTTAAAGCATGTATCGAATCTTATTGTTTATACCCTGTACAAATCACAGTGAGAATCTTTGCTTACCATTTTTCTTTTGTTAAAAGCTGATTACTTTGAACACCCAGTGGAAATAAACATGATTCTACGGCATGGATTATCTGTTTACTCTCATTGTTGGTCCATATTTTCAGAAAGGGTGGACACCACTTCACTGGGCTGCCTTGTACGGTCACACGCAATGTGTCCAGCTTCTCCACCAACACGGGGCTGATACCAATATACAGGATAAGGTGAGTGTAGAATATTCTTAGCATAGCAATATTGCTACTCTTGCGTGTAACTACATGTCTTTTCCGATGTACATTTGAAGTTATTGTGCCAGGTTTACATATCCTGCTTAGCGATCTTTCAAGTTATAACTAATGATCTTAAAGCATGTATCGAATCTTACTGTTTATACCCTGTACAAATCACAGTGAGAATCTTTCCTTACCAATTTTTTGTTTATAGCTGATTACTTTAAACACCCAGTGGAAATAAACATGATTATACGGCATGGATTATCTGTTTACTCTCATTGTTGGTCCTTATTTTCAGAATGGGTGGACACCACTTCACCTGGCTGTCTGGTGCAGCCCCAAGCAATGTGTCCAGCTTCTCCTCCAACACGGGGCTGATACCAATATACAGTCTGAGGTGAGTGTAGAATATTCTTAGCATAGCAATATTGGTACACTTGCGTATAACTACATGTCTTTTCCGATGTACATTAGAAGTTATTGTGCCAGGTTTACATATCCTGCTTAGCGATCTTTTAAGTTATAACTAATTATCTTAAAGCATGTACCGAATCTTACTGTTTATACCCTGTACAAATCACAGTGAAAATCTTTGCTTACCAATTTTTTGTTTATAGCTGATTACTTTAAACACCCAGTGGAAATAAACATGATTCTACGGCATGGATTATCTGTTTACTCTCATTGTTTGTCCATATTCTCAGAATGGGTGGACACCACTTCACTGGGCTGCCTTCTGGGGCCACACGCAGTGTATTCAGCTTCTCCTCCAACACGGGGCGGATACCAGTATACAGAATAAGGTAAGTGTTAAAGAGTCCAAGCACAGGAATATGGCTACACCTTTTTTCAAAAATCATATTTAGACCGTATTACGGGAAAGCACCATTTCACTAGAATGCACTTACAGGCTACATTTTTCTCCTCATCCAGTAAGTAACAAAAGTTTTGCTATTACAGGAGAGAAAGACACCAAGAATGATGGCAGAGGACGAAGAACACGCTGCCGTAGTAGAGCTGTTGAGGCGATTTGAAATACCAGATATACAGGTATACATGTATAGGTGTAGCAGTGTGAATGTGGTCAACCTTTAGTCCTTAAATAGCATTGGATTATAATACATAGAGTTTCGATCAGCAGTTGAAAAATACATAAATTCGAGTAATTGTTTCAAAGCTGTTTATTCTTTACCACATTTATGTGTATTTTTAGATATTAAATTATGTATCAATTATGGTTCAATATTATTAAATTATATGATCAATTATGATTCAATAGGAAGGCAGATGTGTAGAGGTCAAGTGTCCTGGGTTATAACTGCGCACGTCCTGAGTTCATGGACGATATTTTAATAACTGTTTCATCAAATATACCAGTACCCGTAAAATAATTTAATTGATGCCATATTTACAGGGGTATGTACAGACCAGGACTTTGGAACACCTTGCTGAACTATTAGATCCTGCTGAATATACCATCATTAACCAGACCAACCTGAGCACAAACTTTCCTGACGTCTTTCAATTCCAAAAGGTGCAGGAACTGAAAGACTGGGCCAACCAGAACAATTGTACACATATTAGAGACCTAAAGGATCGGCTACAGGATTCAAACCTTCTGCGACTTTCCAGTAAGTAATAGTCATGTCATTATAGATATTTAACAGTACCTTATACATCAACTCCATAACACCAGTGTAACAACCGACGGTTACTGGACTGTAAGATTAGAAGTGTATATAATAATACATTTCACGCTATATCATTTTGTTTTTATTCGTATGTACGTGTATGTATTGTAGATGGCGGGCTTATTGTAAAGACTAATGGGATATAGGCTTTTGGGCCACGATTTACATATAAGATGGCAGCTAACGAAGTTATCAAATGTCTGATTATGCACTGGCGAACATGAAAAGCACACTTGCTTTCACCGACTTTTATTTCATGCACTCAAAAATTTTTATGTTATAAAGCATCTAATGATTGGTTGTGCAAAACCCATTACATCAGTTTCCACACCTTACGATTGAAACTTTAAAAAAGATTAGTTTCGCTTACAGGTGCGGCAGTGGACTATTATGCNTCGTTCGTATCTCCATAGTTTGTAAGCATTTTTTACGTTTACAATTTGCCTTCAAATAGTCTTTTCGGTGTCTAAACCATATCCAGTTACACGACATTTCATAATGATAACAAAAGTGGTGTAGTTTAAGTGAAAAGAAACTGAATATCACATAACTCAACCTATCAACAACAGTATGTTAGACCTACAAATGTTGTAGTCACATTCGGATTCAGTTAACAAAGAAATGTGCGTTTCATATCCTCCACACGACAGTCCTTGTTTCTGATATATGTATGCCCTTAGTCTGTTCATTTTAGGACAGATGACATGGTAAAACAGATTTTATCAATATCTTGTAGTGATCAATGCGTCTTATTTCAGAGATATCGTTCATTGCTCTTCGCAAGAATATCCACGGTATAGCAGCTAGCCAGTATGGCTGACAGCAGGCTTCTCTGGGCTGCAAGGGGTGGAGCTATACAGAGTTTACAGGAACTGCTGACTGCCGGGGAGTGCAACATCAATGTCCAGGACTGGGTAACAACGTTAATTACTCTGTCACTAGTCACGATATCGTTTAGCTATTTATTATTACAGTAAGGATACAAACTGAAGTATTTACACTATTGCAGAAACGACCCATTACAAATTCCGTGGGCATTCTCTAAGTAACTGCCTCACTCCTTACTGCTCCTCTTCCTTCTTGTTACTGTTAATTCTTTTCTTAAAGCCTTATTCTTAAAGACTATTGTCCCAAACATGTTTTTCGACACGACATTGTTTATACATATCATATGATAGTGCGAATTTCTGCTGACCGATTTTTGTTAATTACTGATAATTTTAAACCCTGCATGAAAATAAGCATGTTTCTGCAACATAAATTACCTGTTTACTCACACTGTTTGTACATATTCTCAGATTGGGTGTACACCACTTCACTGGGCTGCCAGGGGCGGCCACACACAATGTGTCCAGCTTCTCCTCCAACACGGGGCAGATACCAGTATACAGGCTAGGGTGAGTGTAGAATATTCTAAGCATAACAATATTGTACACTTGCGTATAACCTCATATATTTCTTGAAGTTTATTAGAATTCTTAAATTATAAGTAATCATCTTAAAAGCATGTATCGAATCTTATTGTTTATACCCTGTACAAATCACAGTGAAAATCTTTGCTTACCAATTTTTTGTTTATAGCTGATTACTTTAAACACCCAGTGGAAATAAACATGATTCTACAGCATAAATTATCTGTTTACTCTCAATGTTGGTCCATATTTTCAGAATGGGTGGACACCACTTCAGGGGGCTGCCAGGGGCGGCCACACGCAATGTGTCCAGCTTCTCCTCCAACACGGGGCTGATACCAATATACAGGATATGGTGAGTGTAGAATATTCTTAGCATAGTAATATTGCTACTCTTGCGTATAACTACATGTCTTTTCCGATGTACATTTGAAGTTATTGTGCCAGGTTTACATATCCTGCTTAGCAATCTTTCAAGTTATAACTAATGATCTTAAAACATGTATCTAATCTCATTGTTTATAGCCTGTACATATTACAGTGAGAATCTTTGCTTACCGATTTTTTTTATAGCTGATTACTTTGAACACCCAGTGGAAATAAATTTAATTCTGCAACATGGATTATCTGTTTACTCACATTGTTTGTCCATATTATCAGAATGGGTGGACACCACTTCACAGGGCTGCCGTGTACGGTCACACGCAATGTGTCCAGCTTCTCCTCCAACACGGGGCTGATACCAGTATACAGGATAAGGTGAATGTAGAATATTCTAAGCATAGCCATATTGCTACACTTGCGTATAACTACATGTCTTTTCCGATGTACATTAGAAGTTATTGTGCCAGGTTTACATATCCTGCTTAGCGATCTTTCAAGTTATAACTAATTATCTTAAAGCATGTATCTAATCTTATTGTGTATACCCTGTACAAACACAGTAAGAATCTTTGCTTAGCATTTTTTTTTGTTTATAGCTGATTACTTTAAACACCCAGTGAAAATAAACATGATTCTTCGGCATGGATTATCTGTTTACTCTCATTGTTGGTCCATATTTTCAGGATGGGTGGACACCACTTCACTGCGCTGCCGAGAAGGGCCACACACAATGTGTCCAGCTTCTCCTCCAACATGGGGAAGATACCAGTATACAGACTGTGGTGAGTGTAGAATATTCTAAGCATAACAATATCGGTACACTTGCATATAACTACATATATTTCTCGAAGTTTATTAGAAGTTATTGTACATGGTTTACATATTCTGCATAGCGATCTTTCTCATAAGTTACAAGTAAACATCTTAAAATATATATCGAATCACATCGTTTATATCGTTTACATACCACAATGAGATTTTTTTCTATTCGATTTTAGTTTATAAATGATTTGTTTAAACACCCAGTGGAAATAAATTTGATTCTGTAACATGGATTATCTGTTTGCTCACATTGTTTGTCCATATTTTCAGAATGGGCAGACACCACTTCACCTGGCTGCCAGGCACGGCCACACACAATGTGTTCAGCTTCTCCTCCAACACGGGGCGGATACCAGTATACAGAATAAGGTGAGTGTTAAAGAGTCCAAGCACAGGAATATGGCTACACCTTTTTTCAGAAATCATATTAAGACCGTATAACGGGAAAGCACCATTTCACTAGAATGCTCTTAAAGGCTACATTTTCCTCCTCATACAGTAAGTAACAAAAGATTTGCTATTACAGTGGAGAAAGATACCAAGAATGGTGGCAGAGGACGAAGAACACGCTGCCGTAGCAGAACTGTTGAGTCGTTTTGAACTACCAGATATACAGGTATACATGTAGCAGTGTGAACGTGGTCAAACTTTAGCCCTTGAATAGCATTGGATTATGATACCTAGAGTTTCCATGTAGTTGAAAAATACATAAATTCGAGTAATTGTTTCAAAGCCGTTTATTCTTTACCATATTTATGCGTATTTTTTAAACATTGCCTCGGGAGTACCATTAATCAGATGTATTCATTTGAAAATTATTTTAGATATTAAATTACATGATCAAGTATGGCCCAATACTGTTAAATTATATGACCAATTTTGATTCAATAGGAAGGCAGATGTGTAGAGGTCAAGTGCCCTGGATTATAACTGCGCGAGTCCTGAGTTCATGGACGATATATATATATATATATATTTTAATAACTGTTTCATCAAATATACCAGTTCCTGTAAAATAACTTAATTGATACCATATTTACAGGGGTATGTACATACCAAGACTTTGGAGCACCTTGCTGAAATATTAGATCCTGCTGAATATTCCATAATTGACCAGACCAACCTGAGTACAAACTTCCCTGACGTCTTTCAATTCCAAAAAGTGCAGGAACTGAAAAACTGGGCCGACAAGAACAATTGTACAAAGATTAGAGACCTAAAGGATCGGCTACAGGATTCAAACCTTCTGCGACTTTCCAGTAAGTAAAAGCCATGTTATTTAGAGCACCTTATACATGTACTCCATAACACCAATGTAACAACCGACGGTAATTGGACTGTAAGATTAGAAGTGTATAATAATACATTTCACGCTATATCATTGTCTTTTTATTTATATGTACGTGTTTGTATATCGTAGATGGTAGACTTATTGTAAAGATAGGGATAGACTTTTTGGGCTACAATTTACACAAAAGATGGCAGCTAACGAAGTTATCAAATGTCTGATTATGCATAGGCGTACATGAAAAGCACACTTGCTTTCAGCGACTTTTATTTCGTGCACTCAAAAAATAAATTATATGTTATAAGGCATCTAATGATTGGTTGTGCAAAACCCATTGCATCACTTTCTGCACCTTACGATTGACACTTAAAAAAAAGATTAGTTTCGCTTACAGGTGCGGCAGTGGACTTTTATGCTGAAGTGGTGAAGAATATTTCAGATATGTCCCCAGGTGACTTTGAAGAACTTTGTAGAACCCTGATCACTGCCAGGCACATGTGCATAACATGTTCAGCAACCACTAACCAGCAAGAAATAAAGTAAGGGCCATATTAACATCGGATGAAGAGTAAATATTTTAGCCATCCATTGGAATTAGAATGAAAAACTCTGAAACTGGAACTTACATAAGCAACTTTCTCTTACTTATCCTATTGTTTTCCTGCAGTTTTCCTGCATTTTGTTTTTATTTGTGTTCTCTGAATTTTGAAAGTTACTCTCTTACGCCACTTGTTGAAATGATCCCATTGAAACAAAATGTTTTCACTCCACAGTTCTTCAACGGAGCCCCTTCGCTACGACGCATTTATTGCCCACAGCAGTGAAGACAAAGCCGTCGTTGAACCAGTGATAGAGCAGCTAGAGGAATTGGGAGTCCAATGCTGCTATGGCGTACGTGACTTCCACCCAGGGAGGCCTGTCATAACCTCTATGGGTGAAGCGGTTTACGGATCAAAGCGCACTGTTGTGTTCCTGTCCAAGAGCTTCATGGAGAGCCCGTGGTGTGCAAAGGAAAGAGAGCTTGCCATGCACAAAGCTGTGG